TGTGGTCACAAGATGGCCGCCTCAAGATGGCCTGCAGGGGAGGACAGTTGGGGGCAACCAGGCCTGCAGGGGAGGGCAGTTGGGGGCAACCAGGCCTGCAGGGAAGGACAGTTGGGGGCAACCAGGCTGGCAATGGAGGGCAGTTAGGGATGACTCGGCCAGCAGGGGGGGGCAGTTACGAGTAGGGGAGTGGTTAGGGGGTGATCAGGCTGGCATACAGAAGTGGTTAGGGGCAATCAGGCAAGCAGGCAGGTGAGTGGTTGGGAGCCAAGAGTCATGGATTGTGAGAAGGATGTCCCAGATTGGAGAGGTGCAGGCTGGGCTGAGGGACATCCCCTCAGCCCCCGCATGAATTTTGTGCACCCAGCCTCTAGTATTAAATAAAGGCTGACAGGGGAGGGCAGTTGAGAGCAGTCGGGCTGACAGGGGAGGGCAGTTGGGGGCGATTGGGCCAGCAGGGGAGGGCAGTTGGGAGCAATTAGGCTGGCAGGGGGTGATCGGGCTGGCAGGGGAGGGCAGTTGAGGGCGATCGGGCAGGCAGGGGAGCAGTTAGGCGTCAATTAGGCTGGCTGGGGAGTGGTTAGCAGTGGTTCTTAACCTCTGGCCCTTTAAATACAGTTCCTCATGTTGTGACCCAACCATAAAACTATTTTTGTTGCTACTTCATAACTGTAATGTTGCTACTGTTATGAATCGTAATGTCAATATCTGATATGCAGGATGATCTTAGGCAACCCCTGTGAAAGGGTCGTTTGACCACCAAAGGGGTCGCGACCCACAGGTTGAGAACCGCTGGGTTAGGGGGTGATCAGGCTGGCAGGCAGAAGTGGTTAGGGGCAGTCAGGCAGACAGGCAGGCAAGTGGTTGGGAGCCAGCAGTTCTGGATTGTGAGAGACATGTCCGACTGCCGGTTTAGGCCTGATCACTGGAGGATATTTTCTCCACTGACTTTTTTAAAGAGCATGGAAGGGAGGATGGGGAAGAGAAGGGGGGAGGGAGAGAGAGAAACATCGATTGGTTGCCTCCTACACCGGAATTGAACCCTTGACCCTTTAATACATGGGCTGATGCTCTACCACTGAACCACAGAGGCCAGGACTATATAAAGAACTCTTACAGCCCTAGCTGGTTTGGATCAGTGGATAGAGCACTGGCTCGCAGACTGAAGGATCCCGGGTTTGATTCTGGTCAGGGGCACATGCCTGGGTTGTGGGCTCTGTCCCCTCTGGGGAGCATGTAGAAGGCAACTGATCAATGATTCTCTCTCATCATTGATGTTTCTCTCTCTCGTTCCCTCTCCCTTCCTTTCTGAAATCAATAAAAATATATTTTTTAAAAAAGGACTCTTACAATTTAATAATACAGATCTTACAATTTAATAATAAGGCATATGCCATATTTTTTAAAAGGGCAAAGATTTAAACATATTCTTCAGCAAAGGAGATATTCAGACACCAAATAACCACATAAGACGATATGGTTAGTTTTACTAGTCATTACTTTTAAGGAAAATACAAATTAAAATGACAATGAAATAATGCTATAATACTACACAGTTATTTTAACCCTACCAGCCCGCTGTACCAATTTTTCGGTAATTTCCGAATCTGCCGCTATACTGCTGTACCTAATTTTTGGTACTTTGCCTAGTACGTGAAAAAAATGCGTCGCAAACTAAAAATAACCAACCAATCATGGTCAGACCTCATGGTTAGCCATTGCAAATGTCTGCCCCTATGTATTTGAAGTGACTTTGTGTGGTTTGACGTGAAAAAATTCTGAAAATTCACAATGAAACGAGCGGCTGATGAACCAAGCACTTCAACAGGGAAGCGGAGTAGGTCTAGGCTTATCACAGTCCAACAGGTAATTGACTTTGGTTGATTCAGACTTTGAGGAGTCAGAATTTCATCAAGAATATGTTTCCAGTTCAAGTGACACAGACAGTGAGAGCTCGAGTGATGAGGAGAATCTTGAACCTTATAGATCTAGAGCTAGATCGATAGTAAGAGAAGGGGGGCGTGTCCCTCAAACAGCTGATGGAGGAGATCTAGGTGGTGATGAAGGTTAGACAAGGAATTTTGTATTACCAAATACAGATCTGAATTTCACTGAGGATGGAAAAGGCCCAGTGAACATTTCTGGATCTATCACAGAGGAGAGTGAACCAATTGACTTTTTATCCTTGTTTTTGGATGATACTTTCTGGCAAAATTTGACAGAGAAAACCAACCTCCGGGCCCACCAATTGCATATAGTAAAGCCCAACTCCTACAATGCCAAAACTTCCAAGGATGCCACAGTGGAAGAAATGAAAGCTTTTCTTGGACTGAGGATCTATATGGAATACTTATGTATAAAGCCCAGCTATCAGGATTATTGGACAAATGAGGGCTCTGACTTTGTTGGGTTTACTCCCGGATTTCGAAATGTTATGACTCGAGACAGATTCTTGGCCCTTTGGATTTTTTTATACATAATTGATGAGGAAGACATAGATATCGATAAGACAGATAGAATATATAAAGTTAGGCCTTTCTTGGAAAGGCTGCTCCCCAAGTTTCTCCACTTCTATCTGCCAAAGCAACATTTGAGCCTAGATGAAGCAATGATCCTGACAAAAAACCACTTGGCCATCAAGCATATATCAAGGATAAGCCCATTTATATTTTTGATTCTAGGGAGGTGAAGCAGTACAAAATAATTATCCTTAAATGCATAGAGTTAAATAGGACTTGAAAGATCACTTAGCTTGTAATCTTCGGATCTCACTTGTTTCTAAAAAGCTAACTTTCCAGTAACCTCATGGACAACTTTTATTTCTTTCACTGAAATTTTAACCAGTATCTTACTTAAAACTTACCAGACACTTTATAACCCAGCACCTTGGTTTAGTGGGAGTTTTCATACAGATACCATACACATAAACATATTAAAATTAGGAGCAGTCTCTCCCTAGTGGTTAAAGACCAATACACTTATTGATCAGGAATCCTATGTAATAAAGAGGGAATATGCAAATTGACCCTCACTCCATCACATCACAAGATGGGTGCACCACCGCGGAGGCAGGGTTCCCATAACACAAGATGGCTGCGCCCACAGCAGAGGTGGGGGGTTCCCGTAACGAGTGATCAGCAGGGACCTGAGGCTGTGTGGCACCAGGCCAGGGTGGGGGACCTGAGGCCCCGCCCCCCCACTTGGTGGGGCTTGACGGGAAACCTCAGGCCACACCCCCCACCCCGGGTCGGGGGACCTGAGGCCACAACCTCTGTCCCAGCACTGGGCTGGGGGACCTGACGCCGCACCCCTGGACCAGCGAGGCTTGATGGGGGCCCTCAGGCCACGCCCCCCACCCTGCAGGGCTTGAAGGGGGACCTCAGGCCATGCCCTGCACCCAGCACTGGGCTGGGGATCCTGAGGCTGTGCCCCCCAACCCAGCGGGGCTTGACAGGGGACCTGAGGTTGTGCCCCCACCCAGCAGGGCTTGAGGGGGGCCCTGAGGCTGTGCCCCCTGCCCAGTGCTCAGCTTGGGGACTTGAGGTTGTGCCCTCCCGCCCGGCTGGGCTTGTTGGGGGTGGGGTTGGCTGGGTCTGGATCTCACCTAATGGGGGTGGGGCTGGCCAGGTCTGGGTCTCACCTAATGGGGGTGGGGCTGGCCAGGTCTGGGTCTCACCTAATGGGGGTGGGGCTGGCCAGGTCTGGGTCTCACCTAATGGGGGTGGGGCTGGCCAGGTCTGGGTCTCACCTAATGGGGGTGGGGCTGGCCAGGTCTGGGTCTCACCTAATGGGGGTGGGGCTGGCCAGGTCTGGGTCTCACCGCTCAAAGGCAGTGAATGGCTGGAATCTGGGAAGGGTAGCCCTAGAAAATGCATAGTTTCCCCTATACCCAGGTATTCTTAGTATTGTGCTTTAGGGAAAATATAGGTTACTGTATGAAACACTTTCAAAACTTTGTTTTAAAAGAATCATTTGCAGTATGATTATTTCTAAAATGTATTTTTTCAGGATTTATGACATTTTGAATCATGGCTTCAGTGTTTACAGATGCTAGATAAGTAAAGTGCAACCTCAGCAATTTGAGCCACGGTTCAAGTCACAAATAGATGTCCTCAAGTCATGCTCTAACAATGACTGGCTACTCTTTATTGAGTAAATTAATGCATATTACTAATGGTGACCTAGAGGTCAGGCTTAAATTATTTTCAGAGGTGTTACAATGTAGATTGATGGAGGAAATGGCTTAGATTGCTAAAGGGTTTCTGATAGGAAATACGCAAGTAGTGTAAAGGGGGAAAGAAGGGACTTGAAATGGATATTTTTTGTTTTTATAACCCAACTTTCCTAGAGGCTTCTGGTTTTATATTTAATTAATATTCATCTTAGTATTCTTTTGTGTCTTTGAAATTAGAATGGTGCCTTAGAAATCAGAAGGTGTCTTTTGGATATATTTAAGGTAGCATATCTTGGCCAATGTGTGTCAGTGTTACAGCATCAGCCCATGGACCTTAGGGTCATGGATTTAATTCTTGGTCAAGGGCATGTACCTGGGTTGCAGGTTTGATCACTGACCCCAGTCAGGGCTAGTGTGGGACGCAACCAATCAATGTTTCTACTCCCCGCTTCCTTCCTCCAATGCAGTCTTTAAAAATCAAAGGGGAAAATATCCTCCAGTGAGCATGAACAGCAACAGAAAAGAAAGCAGTATCTTTCATGTTCTATCAGAACCCTTTCTGGAGTGTGGGGTTTGGGAAGAAACCTACAGTAACGAACTAGGACCACCATGTTTCCATGTTTGTTGCTGAGGAGGGGAGGAAATAGATAGGAAAGGCTTCCACAATCTCCCAGCACCTTGTATCCTTGGGCTTGCCAGCTTTTTCATTTATTGCAAGTGATTCCCAAGGGTGCCGTTCTTGAGCGAGCATGTACACTTCTTGATGGTTATAGATGTATAACTTTTATAGTCTTAGCTTTACTGAGAAAATCTTTTTTAATTTCAGGTAAAAAACATCAGAATGAATTTCAGCTTCTGGTGGATCAGGCCAAAAAAGGATACAAGAAAACTGTTGAAATGTCAAAAAAGGATACAAGAAAATTGTTGAAATGTCAAAAAGAAGATGAATCTACAAAAATGCTGTTCCCTGTATGCCTGGGTAAAAGACTTTAATTAAAAACAGAAATTATGTTGAGTTTCACTATTCATTGTAACATAAAAAGAAAATTAAAACAAATTTACTTTGTGCTTAATAGATATTTGAAATGGGAAAAGGTAGTTTTAGACTTAAAGCAGTTGTTGAATATCAACTCGGTTTATAACTCTGGGAAAAATGATTGGGAGGATGTCCTGAGATACAGTTTCTAAAAGCTTCCTTTGCCCTGGATGGTGTTCTCAGTGGTTAGAGCATTGGCCTGTCCACTGACGGGTCTTGGGTTTGATTCCTGGTCAAGGGTACATACCTGGGTTGCAGATTCGATCCCTAGCTCCGGTCCTGCTGAGTTGGGGGAGGCAACCAAGTAATGTGTCTGTCTCAAATCGATGTTTTTCTCTTTCCCCTCCACCCTCCCTCCCTCCACTCTCTAAATATGGTTATTGGCCTTTTGTCTGTTAAAGTTCTTTGCCCATTTTTTTAATTGGGTTGTTTGGTGTGGGGTTTTTTTTCTTGTTCTTGAGTTTTAGGAGTTCTTTATACTGGATATTAATGCTTTATTATATATGTGATTTGCAAAAGCATTTCATGGTAGTCTTTTTTTTAAATATATTTTTATTGATATCAGAGAGGAAGAGAGAGGGAGAGAGAGATAGAAACATCAGTGATGAGAGAGAGAATCATTGATTGGCTGCCTCCTGCACACCCCCTACTGGGGATCGAGCACACAACCCAGGCATGTGCCCTTGACCGGAATCAAACCCAGGACCTGGCTAGGGCCCAAAAATTTATTTTTAAATTATGAAGTTAT